GAAGTTACAGCAGTCTAAGAACCTTGACTTTGTAACAGGTCTATGCGCCCAATTTAGAGGGAGAATAGGATACCTTCTTTGATGAAGTGCAGTGTGCTTTGTCCGAAGCACCGAAAACGAAGTCCCTCATATTCATGGACGGTTTTAAGGCCATCTTGGAGTAGACACTGTAAAGTGGAATGGCGTGATTAGATGAAACGGCCCTAGCGACCTCAACAGTAACGGCATGAAGTTGTTGCGGTTTTGTGCTAACAACGAATTGTTCATTATGAACACCTTCTTCGAGCGTCGAAGAATGCATCAGTATACCTGGTACTGGGAAGCTTGTGTACATCAATCGATGATCGATTTGATAATCGTATCGTCTGACCTAAGACGCTCATTAATGGACGTTTGCTTTAAGAGAGGTGCAGAGCTACCAACCGTTCATCACATTGTTGTTGGCACGCTGCGCTGTAAGAAATGGAGTACCATAAGAAGAGCTGGTGGCAGAAGCAACCGGAGAATCAAATGGGATACATTATCTTTAGTAGACACGAGAGCGAAATTAGCAAACAAAATCGCACTTCGGTTTGAACAGATCCCTGATGTTTAAACGAGTGAGAGCTCTTTAAGGGCGAAGTACTCAGGATTGCAAGCGAATGCTGCAGTTTCAAACGAGTTGTCCTGTCTTTTGGAGGTAAGAAAAGAACTTCCTGGTGAACACGAGAGATACAATTGGTATTTAACGGGAAGAAGGCTGCATTCAAGAAATGGCTTGAAAGAAAAGAGACTTCAACTCGTGTCCGTATTGTAGAACTGTGCAAGGCGGCAAGTTGATTCTTGAGAGAAGTTCGGTGAGGTGTTGGAATCGAATTTCCAGACGACAAACAAGGTATTCTGGCACACCATCCACCGGCTCATAGGTAAAATGAAGGGAATTGAAGTTTATTGACGTGCAGATCTGGGCACTCTCTTATCGAGGATGAGGACATTCTTCGACGATAGAGAGAGTACATAGAGGAACTCCTTAACTCGAAAACTCGCTTGATGAACTGCAGGCAAAGTGTGTTTGTTTTTTTCTAGATGAAGCCACACAAGCAGTGAGGAGCTTGAGAAGTGTAAAAGGCTGTTGCAGTCAGTGAAATCCGCTCTGAAATGTTTAAAGCATAGGCTAACAAGGCGTGTTTTAGCTGAAACTGCAATGGCTGCAGGGAAAACATCAGCTGACTGGAGAGGCAGGGGCTGTAGTAGTTAGTCCTATTTGAGAAGGGAGGCCACTGGGAGTGCTCCATTTATCGAGCCATTGCCTTATTGAACCTCCCAGATGAAGTCTGATGCTAGAAAGGAGGTGCCGCGGAATAACTGATTTGAAAATACAGTAATATTACAGTGGCA